AATATGGATAAAGTAGCTGATGCTGTCGTACTTACTATTTTGAATGTAAGATTTATAACTACTTGTATAACTAAAACAAACACAATGAGGAAACTCAAAAGGGCTACTCAGTAAATGTTTAGTTGACTGGTTAAAAAAAAAGATGACTATGGAGAATAAACTCAGAAATTGAAATTATTGATTCAAATCATGAAAATTTTAATAAAATTAATCTCATGTTTTCAGAGGAAGATGAAGACATTACTAAAAGTTATCTAATTAAAGGCAGATTCTCCTTTCTCTTATTTGGTTACCAGATACCTTCCTGCTACCAGGTCTAACAGATTTAAATACACTATTCTAAAGCTGTAATATTTAACAGACAATGCCATCTAATTAAAAGTATGAGACTGGGGCAAGGAGGCAAGATTCAGTGCAAAGGGAAAACTCCCAAGAAAGAAAGTTAAAATTTGGCCTTCTGTTCTGTGCCCAATAATGCATGTTTTTCTGATAGTTTGCTCTCTTTATACATCCAAGGTACAAGTTCTACTTAAAGCAGGAACTAAACCATTGTAAGTTACAAATGCATTTGGGCCTTTTCTCAGTTATAAAACCAAAATGTAGAGCTGCTAGCAATAATTTATTATCACAAAAATATGAAAATAGGAACAATTTAAATATTTTTAAGATTTGTACTCTGTAACAAACTGAATGGAAAGAAAACCGAAGCAAAGTTTCAACATACAGCTTTGCATTACACAGTAACAAAGTGCTGTTCTTCATCATCCTAAGCCTAAATTATGTCAACCTTACCATTTTCCATCTCTTCTACCTTCTTAAATCTTTTACTACAGTTTGTGTATTTTAAATTCTGCATTAGATTGTAAGTTCCTTGATGGTAATTCCTATGCTTAGTCATTTTTTAATGCTCTACACCATCCAGCACAGTGACATAAAACTTACCAGATCAGTAAGATGTTTGCTGTATTGGACCCTATAAACTGACACAAATCATAACTGAAACTACCTGTAAGAGCCCTACTATGAAGATTCTTTCCTAAAATAATTTATTTAATATTTTAAATGGCATGGTTTTGGGGTTGGCATACTTTAACAACTGTCAGTACTAGTTTATTCTCCATCCCCCCACAACTCATCAAACCAAATACACAAGATCTGCAAATCTTCCTGAATGTACATTATGTCTCAGTAAAAAAAAAAAACAAAAAACAAAAATAAGGTTTTTAACTAGGCAAGTAAAACCTCTATTATTTACATTGAAAAAAGAGGAGTAAGTAGCAGTATTAACCCATTAAGAAGCAACAGCTTGGTGGAAATCACTAGAAAAACTTAACTTTCTAACATGTGAAATAATACAAAAATGTGCTTTAAAAAAACAACTAATTGGCCTGGCGCCTGTGGCTCAAGTGGCTAAGGCGCCAGCAACATACACCTAAGGTGGCGGGCTCAAATCCAGCCCGGGCGTGCCAAACAACAATGCCGGCTGCAACCAAAAAATAGCCGAGTGTTGTGGTGGGTGCCTGTGATCCCAGCTACTTGGGAGGCTGAGGCAGGAGACTCACTTGAGCCCAGGAGTTGGAGGTTGCTGTGAGCTGTGATGCCTTGAGGCTCTGTCTCAAAAGACAAACAAACAAACAAACAAACAAACAAAAACCTAATCAAAATTGCCTCCCTCCCAATAATCCTATCTTCCTGAGATAATCAACTCTTTTCTCTCCAAATACTACAACAGTTGCTGTATACTATGCTGTAGACATATACTGGTTGGAAAACAAAGGCATCACAATATGCCTTCTTGAAAAAGCTTATTTCTGCCTTTTTTGGTCACATGGTCTTCTCTCATAAAATAAAACTGCATACATGCTCCTTCTAATTCACTCAACCTCTTATTCCAGAGCTCTCCTGTGTCAGAAACACATTTAAAGTGTTCTGTCCTCCTCTCAAGGCCTAAAGAGGCTGCTTAATTCCCTCTACAACATTTTCCAAGATGCAGGTGGCTCTAGAAAGGTCAGCCTATTTGGACTGTGATTTCTACCTAAATGCCTTTAGTAGACACCACCAGCTTAGCTTATGTCATTCATGATAACAACTTCCTCTTTCGGTGGCTAAGTTCCATCCTAATTTGTCTACTTTGCATTGCTAGAAATATTGTAGTTCACACAATCTTTCCTTTCTCAACTTACAGTTTCCATTTAGGAAATGTACAAAATAAGCAAAATGAGAAAACTGAGTTTTAGAGTGACCTGCATGGGTTCACGAAGTCAACAGTGTAATTCATCCCGGGAGTCATCAGAATCCCCATGAACAACTTGAAATTACTGCTGCCTTTCATCAAATCCGTGTCCAAACATGTTTCACCTAAACAAGCAGCTCCTCCGGGGATGTGTTTCCCCATCTTCCCTGGCATCAGGGATACTCAATGACTGCTTACTGACTGCCTCCCATCAGTGAAAATCAGAATTGTCCTTTAAAACCAAACACTCAGAAATGAATAAAGAATGACTGTTAGCAATTGGAAATTCCAGCACTATTACCTACTAGTTGTAAACTTATCACAGTTGGCAAGATTCAGAAATAAGTTTTATCTCACTCAAAGACTCCTGAAACCTGAACCTATCTATTTATTGGGCTCTACAGATTTAATTAGAATGCTAGAGGAACAAGTGAATCCTCATTACAAAACCAAATCCAAATTGTGCTTACTTAGTTTTATGAAAGAAAACACAAGGTTACTCTCCACAGGGAGAGAAATAAACTTCTAGGGTATTCACAACAAAAACTATATGTCAAAAGCTAGGTATCTCCTGCACACTGACTTTGATATGGATGCAAAAACAAGAAAAATTCTTTGTATGATCCCCAAACAAGTCACCTTTTGTCAGGAGAACGATATCACACTGGTCAATTACAAAATGACAATCGTATTTTCTCACAATTCTACTGTTTCTTTATAATTATTCTGGTAGGAATAATTTAATAATAATAACTTAATAATTTACCTAAGTATGCTGAAGATAATTGTTTTGTAAATAATGAAAAACAAATGGAAAAGGATGTGCTGGAAATGGTCTGTATCTTGATCTGGGTGATGGCTACAAGGGTCTCTGCCTATATACGTATAAATTCACTAAGCAGTAGCTTAAGAGCTATACACTTTGCTGAACAGAAGTTACATTCTGGTAATAAGATTTTTTTAAAAAGGAGAAGGATGGCTTGGCGCCTGTGGCTCAAGTGGCTAAGGCACCAGCCACATGCACCTAAGGTGGCGGGTTCGAATGCAGCCCAGGCCGGCCAAACAACGATGGCTGCAACCAAAAAAAAATAGCTGGGCGTTGTAGCTGGCACCTGTGGTCCCAGCTACTTGGGAGGCAGAGGCAGGAGACTCGTGTGAGCCCAGGAGTTGGAGGTTGTTGTGAGCTGTGATGCCACAGCACTCTACCCAGGGGGATAGCTTGAGGCTCTGTCTCAAAAAAAAAAAAAAAAAAAAAGGAGAAGGAGAATAAGAAAAGAATATGAAGCTCTGAGTGAAGTCAACATCTAAAACTCCTTCAATTTTCTACGGTTCATTGAACAAATACTTGTTGAATGTTTTCCTTTATTCCAGACACAGTGTAAGATATTGAGGATAAAACTATAATTAAAGCTGAGTGTGGTGGTTTGCGCCTGTAATCCCAGCACTTTGGGAGGCTGAGGTGGGAAGATCATTTAAGACCAAGAGATTGTGAGCAGCCTGGGCAACACAGTAAGACCTGTCTCTATAAAAAATAAGAAAATTAGCCAGGTAGGGTGGCTCACACCTGTAGCCCCAGTTAGTAGGGATGCTGAGACAGAAGGATCACTTGAGTCCAGGAGTTCAAGGATGGAGTGAGTTACAATGATGCCACTGCACTCTAATGCAGGTGACAAAGCAAGAGCCTGTCCCTTTAAAACAAAAAACAAAACTATAATTAAAATATAGTCATTGGTGTCACAGAATTAAAAATCTAATAATGGAGAAATATAAGAAATAATAACAGTGTGTGATGGGTACTGTGACAGGAGTAAGGACAAGGACTGGGGAATTTAGCTCAGGACTCTAGCTCAGGAGAGACAGAGTTCTCAGACTGCTATTTTATTTATATAACATCACACATACTGAAACATATCTAGCTTTTATTTTTAAAAGGTAAAAAGATCCATCATTATATCCTTTTCATCTCTGTACTTCTAGAAGCAAAATTAAACTTTTTTTTATCATCATGAGATACACTAAAAGTTAGATCCCTTATATTGTTTCTGTAGCAATAGTCACTCTTTATAAATAAACACAAGCAGATGTTAAAATGATTTTTGCCAACCGTCCAAGAAACCTGTCAGTATGAAGCACAGGGCTCTGGAGCACATAAGAGGCTCTGCAGTGGGTGACCAGCCACTGTAACTTCAATCTCTGAAGAAAATTTTGCATGTGGCAACTCATCATAGAAAACAGAATTTCACTTCATGTTGAAATTCACCTCCCCATTCAAAACAACTTCTTCAAATGCTTAAATTATTAAGGAAAATTGTTTGTTCAAAAGAAAATAAAGTAAATATGAAAGGGAAACTGTGGCAAAGATCAGGACTGATGAAAAAAGAACTAAGCAAACTCTAGGGAAATCCATCTCTGTCACCAAAAGCCCCAAGTTGTGAAAGCAGGAACAGAGAATTACAAGGTAATTAAGCTACGCAGATAGCAGGCCGTGATACAGGAGTGCACTTCTCATCCTACACCCCCAAGAAACATTTCTATGCACAACAAAACCTACTTCTCTCCAGAGAGCAATTAAATAAATAAGGAATCTGTAGGATTCTTCTGACTCCATCCCCTCCAAAATGGTTAGAGAAATGGCTGTAGAACTATTTCCATCATAAATCTAGGACAGACATATAATCAGAAAGGACTGAGATCATAAAGACAGAAAGACAAATGAGGCAGCAAGCATTTAAAGATGCAGATGAATAAACCAGACAAACCACTTTACCTGTCAGCCTTCATCAGAAGGTTCGGCGGTAGCTCAAGGATCTGGTTGTGTTGCACGTCTAAGACTTCCACCGACGTTCTTTCTAGCCTCTCAGGTAGTCTGGCCAACTGGTTGTGTCCTGCCAATAGCTTCCGGAGACTGCTATTACAAAATAAGCTGTGCACAAAGGGAAGAAAAGAGACAGAGGCAACTCATTTAGAGCTAATTTGAGATAAAGATCGAAAGATGAATCAGAGTATTAGAATACCTAAAATTATCTCTTCAAAAATGATAAATTTATTCAGAGCAACTGCAAATTCATTTTAATGTAAGTTCCAACTCGAACTGTTTAGGTTTCACCACTTTCTATACTTTAACAAAAGGAGGGAAAGGAAAAACTATGAAAAGGAATACTGGACAAAGCTCTACACAGGGAAAAGTAAGTTTTATATACGTAGCCACCGAAGAGATTCGTTGAATCTTGTTCAATTCACAAAGCAAGCTTTAAAGGGTGTGTCTTGTATTGCGGTAGAATGCTGTTGTTTTACCCACAACAGCCTGAATAAATATACCTAATCAGTCTTTTGCAGGATCCACATTAAACTAAGGATTCTTCTATTCAACTAAACTTTTACAAATGTCAGATGAGAAAATGTTATGTTTTTGCTCAGCTGCCTTTCACAATAAAAATTGTTTGTCCCTTGTCTCACTTCCCTGGCTGTGTGTTACTTTCTCTTTAGGTGAATGCTAGACCAAGGTAGAGACTCTCCTAAAGAAAGCAGAATGCACTTAATCCACTACTTTCTTGTGAGCCTGACAGAGCTGCTGGGAAGCTCTGCTGTGTTTCTTCTAAGGGTTATCAGAATTGTCATAAATAATGAATACGTGTTAATTTAATAGGAAATCCATGTTAGGGCCACTTCAGAAGTCTCTGAGAGTTGTAAAGGGTAACACAGGACCTAGATTTATATCAGACTTCCTGGAGTTATAGAAAAATGAAGTTGTAACTTGCATCATGATCGCTTCAGATTAAGAATTTATAACCAGACAAGGTCTTGGCTCATGCTTGTAATCCTAGCATTTTGGGAGGCCAAGGTGGGTGGTGTATTTCTTAAGGCCAGGAATGAGGGACAACTTGAGGCCAGGAGTTAGGGAATAGCCTGAGTAAAAGTGAGACCTGTCGCTACGAAAAATAAAAAAAAAAATTAGGCTGGTGTGGTGATGTATGGCTGAGGGCAGGACAATCACTTGAGCCCAGAAACTTAAGGTTATAGTGAGCTATGATAATTCCATTGCACCCTAGCTTGGGTGACAAAGCAAGACTCTTGTCTCAAAAAAAATAAATAAATAAAAGTAAATAAAATTTTAAAAATTCATTTATACTGTTGTCAAAGAAAAAGCTTCCCCACCTACTTCCTGCTTTCCATCATTCTGCCCTCAGTGACTAATACTCACCATTGTTTTTTTAGTTCACTTATAAAAATTTTCCATCTATTTCTGATATATATCATGGTATTTTGATATATGTATACACTGCGTTATGGCTAGATCAAGCTAATAAACACATTATCTCATACACCTATCTTTTTTAAATGAACATTTAAAATCACTCTTAGCAATTTTCAAGGATTCAACACTGATATTAACTATAATCACACTGTCGTGTGAGTAAAATTTGGTATCTTTTCATTCATAGTGGTTAAAAACAGCCATATGTTATGGCATAACTTAACTTTAAATGTCAAACGTAGATTCTTTGCTCACAAATATGCTGCAACCTATCTCAATCCTGTGAAACCACAGACCATAATAAAAGATATCTAAATTTACAGGTTTAGGTATTAGTGTGACAAGACAGATGATCTAGACCACGCAGATATCCTTGCATTCGCAGTTATCATAGGACAGTTGTCTCTGAAATGGTCACTAACCCAGTAATTCAGCATTTGCTTCATCAAAGACATATATCTTGTTTATCTTTTAACACATAAAAACTAAAAGACATGTAACAAATTCTTTTGATTTTTCCAAATAAGAGAGTAGATTTGGTTAACTACAGGATGAGTATCATACGTTAATTATAGAATTTAGTTCAATTATTTTGTGGATTGTCTAAGCATGAAAATATGCCCTCTCTTTTAATAAATTTCCACTTCCAAATAATAATTTCTGGTTGACATCCTTTCTTTCTTTGAGATGCCACACCATTCTCTCTCTCACTCCTTTTCTCTTGTACCCCCCATCTTCCTTCTCACACTCCCTTCTCTCTTTCTTATCTCTGCTCCCCTACTCTTGTCTCTCCAATCTAAAATAAACTTATATTTTTATATTTTAAAAAAATCATTGGTTTTGCCAAACTCCTCATATACCCTGAATATTAACTCAATTCCAATGATTCACAGTCTTGCCTGAATATAACAACTACAATACAGCTCATACAAAACTTTCAACTGAACACCACCATAAACAAGAAAACAATACACATTCTTTTTGTTTCATGAATTAAAACATACACACACGATTTAAATTCTTTGACAATAGAGAATTTGAGATTTGCTTTGAATAAGCATTTATTTAGCTATCCCTGAAGCCTGTACTGATGCAAAAATCTAAGACTGATGAATTTGGGAGAAAATTGAATAAAATGCCAGCTATCTTGTATTTAATGTATGTTTTCAGGCATACACACATATATTTAAAATGTCTTTGTTTTAGCGTACAGCAAAAGAGGCTTTTGACACCAATGTGACACCAATGTGACACCAATGTGACATCTATTGGACTGAGGGGTTAGAGAGGCAAAGAGAAGAGACAAATCTTAGGAAGAAGATGTAGCAAGGAATTTTTTAACAAATTATCTTTTCCCTACAAGTAGTAGCCTATTTTCAGTTTTGCTATTCCTCTTCTAAAAGGGTCTGGCAGGAACACAGACATACATCCTCTTGACCCTCAACAATGGGTCACCTACATGCTTAATCAACATAACACAAAAGCATTTTCAAATAGATCAAATCTATAGGTATAATGTATGGCTGAGGAACAAAGCGAAATCAACTGAGCTTCTCAGGTACTGAATCTGTAACTCAAGATTTCTTTTAGAAGAGCTGTATTCTGACACAGTATTATGCAACAGAAATATAATGCAAGCCACAGATGTAGATTTAAATTCTCTAACAATCACATTAAAAAAAACAGAAACAAGTAAATTAATGCTTAGTGTATATTTTATTCAACCCAAAATATATGCAAAATATTATTTTAATATGTAATTAATATATACTATTATTAATATTTTGCATCAAGTGTATACTTTACACTTATAGCACTTCTCAATTAGGACTAGTCACATGGCTAATGGGTGGGAGGTACCACCTGTACAGCCCAACTCCAACACCTTTACTAGGCTAACCAAGCTTGTATATTTCATAATCCTTGTTCTTTACAAGAAAACAGAAATACTGATCACATACCTTTAAAGATTATGGGCCTAAAGTAAAAAGTTTACTCCAAATTGATGACATACTTTTACAATATTTTCATTAATATTTTTGACAATACATAGTTTAAAACAACTGTCTTCCTCTGTTCAGTGACTGGCTGAGAATGGTGGCAATAACTAGACTTAATTTGTGGCAGCCATGAGCACCAAGTAGCTATTTAAAAATGAGTTAAAGTTAAATGAAATAAATAACCCAGTTTCTCGGTCACTCCAGCCACATTTCAGGTGCTCTACAGCCATAAGTGCCTAGTGGATTCTCTGTATCTCTAGCACAGATACAGAACACCACTTCAATCTTCATAGAAAGTTCTTCATAGACAGCACTGACTAGATTACTCTTTTGGTTATTAACTGCCTGGCTATCATGAATACTTTGAATACTTTGAATACTTTGACAATTAGTCAACTTGAAAATCTTTGTATTTATAATCAATAGTCCTCATCATGGGGCTGTTCTGTAAACGTT